CTGTTTGTAAAGCAAGCAACTACAACCTCATTCTTTGAGAAGTCTTTGATCTGAACACTTCACTGGTGATTAACAGAATCTACTCCACTGTTTTGTTAAGGTAATGTTGATACAGAGTGATTAAACAAATGGCACTAATTCCTACCAAATAGTATTGATATGGGAAAGCAAGGAATTTAGCTCGGTTTTTTTGTTGCAGTATACCTTTGTTTCACGGACTGGTAAAGTGTGTTAATTCTACATAAAGGGATGTGGTAGAGAGTAAAAGCAAAAGTAAAGTAAAAAAACCGTGAAATAGATATTACACTAATACACCTTAGTACGCCCCAATTGCATTTTATCCTGTCTTGGAATATCTCACTTAAATATTCAAGTTTTGTTTCACGGGTTTAATGCGTTTAAACTATTTTAGCACTTATTTGCATTATTATCTTGGAATAAGTCTACTCTATCAAAGATCCTTTTGTAAGAAAAACGTTGAAGTAGATGAGTGCATGTACCATGTATCTTAGATTCATCCATGCACTACAGGATTGTTTCTGTCGTCACGGACCTAAAAAAGAAAGTAAAATGTTTAAGGTAGCACAGCTTTAGTTTCCTATGCACACTTAATTATTATTTTCGCTTCTCTAGAATGAAGACCGCCATCTTTATCGTGGTATTTTCTGTACTTCTGGTTTCTGTCTTGGCTGAGGTATCTGCTAGAGACCAAGCCACCGCTGCTGAAAAACGAGTACCCTGTGGCTGTTCTTGTACCAACAATAACGGGGTTTGTCACTGTGTAAAGATAGGCGGGAATGGTAAACGAACCACTACTCGATTGGAGTTTACAGGATCAAAGCGTGGGTCGTGTACCTGTCATGTAGTGTGCTAATTGCATATGTCATTAATTTCATATCCATAATTAGACTAGTTCACCTAGTTTTCTGAAACTAGTAAGAATTTTCCCAAAAATGTAATAAAAAGTTCAAACAGTTCAAATAAATGTATACCATAAAATATTTAGGGTGTATTTTACCTTGTGGCTTGCATTACGAACGCTCAGGATCAACGCCATTTTGAAAAGCTTACTTGAGGGGACCCGTCGAACCTTTTGACAGAAGAGAGCCATTCTCGAGACCAGGCTCTTCCCGAACCTTTGCCAGCGGTTTTTGACTACCGGAAATAAAGCATTGAATTTAAATGACAATTGATATCACACAATTCCCCGCGTTGAATAAATTGCCGGGTTTCATTGTCCCAACCACGTACAGAACACTTCAAAACAAACCAGCCATCAAACCCCCGGCATGACGTGTTTCTCTCTCTACGCTACACATAGGTATACCACAGGCAGCCTATCTCTTACGTGACAATTTAAAAAAACTCCAAAACAGAACGAAAAAC